TGTGTCCAGGTACCCATAGAAATCTGATGTCTTTTTTGGATAAGAATATAATGTTTAATATTAGGTTGCCTATTGGGTTGTTTTTTTGTGGATTTGCTAAGTTTGTGAGGGCACTGAGAGAGTCTGTGTATATGATTGAAGATTGGTATAGTCTAATTATTGTTATATATATTATATTTCCAAATTATATACACTATACATAATATTGTTATATTGGAAATATAATATATATGGCTAAAATTAGACTATAATATGAAAATGAAAATGATATTGATTGATTACTTATTCATCGAGTTCTTATATCATTGTGTTGTGACGGTAATCTGTGTAAAAAKAAATGATMGAATTGGTTAGTTAAATGTTTTTATACTTAAACGCTTATTGTTACTGGTTGAAATAATATTTATAAAATATAAAATGTATTACATAAAAGTTATATGTATTATTATAACTTCACATATGTTTTCATTTTAAACTGTACATAATAAGAAAAAATATGTTTAAAAAACTTCAAAATGAGGTTTATCCAACTTTTTTTGAAGTACCAACCATCCCGTTAATCATGCAAAAACATGTTTAAAAAAAAATTTAAAAATTGATAAGTTACTCAACTACTGCAGTCTACAATATTGTTCCTCAATACGACTTAAGGGAAATTTTTGTTTTTATGTATTTTTCAACGTAATAAATCAAAAATTACCATTTTTAAATTAATTTGTTTGTACCGAGTATAGGTATCAATAATGAATATTACGAGGAATATTATATAACCACATATAAAAGCAAATCAATGTATTGATACCTGTAGGAATCTAATAAACTTCCTGTTTTAAAAAAAATTTAAGTGTGTGCCATTCTTAGGTTAGGTTTACAGTTTAGGTCAACAGTCTGATAACTAAACTCCTTACATAGTAAATTGGATATTGTTGAATATATCACTTAACGTGTGCAACAGTACCCACTTATTTTGCATCACATACAGGTATATGAATAAATAATTTATTATTACTTTTTAACTCCCACGAGAAGCATTCCGGAATATTAAAATAAAGTATATTTATAATAGTAATTCATATTCATTATATAGCCTGCTGTGAGTGGCTGTAATGCTTCTCAAAATTTAAATCCTGTATGTGTGCTGTGTGCATGTTTTGTTTATAATTTAAATGTTTTTATTTTACAATATATTCATAAATATATCAATGATCAAATGAGATGATAAAATAAAAAATGTCACGAATAACACAATAAAGTTTTTTTGAAATTATGTAATTTGTAAAATTTAACACGTGCAAAAATTATAGCCTTGTCCTAAATATTGTTTTTAAATACGAAAATGCCACACAAAATGAAAAATACAACACTTTGAATGTTGCATTTACAATTTGGTACCAATCTAAATTTTTTAACGTTTCATGTATACGTAGGTAATATTTTAATTTTAATAGGTAACWAAATACCTACGTGTACATGAAACGTTAAAAAATTTAGATTGGTACCAAGTTGTAAATGCAACATTCAAAGTGTTGTATGTTTCATTTTGTGTGGCATTTTCGTATTTCAAACAATATTTAGGACAAGGCTATAATTTTTGCACGTGTTAAATTTTACAAATTACATAATTTCAAAAAAACTTGATTGTGTTATTCGTGAAATCTTTGTTACTTATTAAAATTAAAATATTATGGTGATATTGTAATAATAGATCTGAATATTTTAATTTAATTTATTTATTATGCATACCTGTACCTTTTTGTGGTAGCAATATACATACATTTTAGCTGGCAGATCTTCGCTAAGCCGCTATAACCTTACACATTCTGGCCGAATATTGTTAGCTATTTTTCTCAATAATCAAATTGCAATCAGAATATATTTTATCGTAGGCTGTATTGCTGTAAACATAATACCTATAATTGTACCTACTGCATTGGATTTTTTAAGCTATYGAGAATTAAAATCAAGAATAGATATTTGCATTCGCTATTACAAGATAATCTGATAATATCCTTAACGATTTTTTCTACAGAAAATAACTTATTAGAGAACTTTAAATTTGAATATCTACGCATTAAAAGAATTTTCTTCAAAAATTAAAAAAAAGAAAAACAGTTATATAAATTGCCATTATAGTATTATAAATAGATAATAATAATTAGATTTTAGCTTTATTATTTTATTATACAGTGAAATCTATTAGTAGTGGACAGCCATGAGGTCATGAGGAATTAAGAAATGTCTATACTATAAGGAGTTGTTTACTATTGAGAAATAGTATTACGTAGGTACATACATTTTTCCAGGGAATTTAAAAGTGTCTACTATTAGGAGAGATCTACTTTTGAGAGTTTTCTATTAATATAATTTTTACTGTAATATTAATCTTATATATGTTGATCCTTTTATTGGAATTTTATGTAATATTAATCTTATATATTATTATTTTCTATAACACTAATACAGCAATAATATAGTGTTCAAACGGGTATAAATGTATAATAATAAAAATTAATTTTTTGGGGAATTGGGGGACCATAAAGTATCAGTTCCAGGGCCCTTAAAGATCTTAATCCCTTAACCCCTATAATTCTTAAATTATATTTTTAGTGCTGTAATATCATTAATAAAGTCAGGGAACACCTTGTCAAACACCTAGAGTCTGAGAGAATTCATCGATTCAACATAATATAATAAATCAAAAATAGCGGTTAGCAATAGTATAAATGAAACACAACATTATATTAATAATATATTTACTGAAATATTATAGAAATAAATAACTAAAGTGAATAATTTTTAATAAATTATAATTAAAAGGGCTTGGAACGTAAACTTTTTTACCTTATTTAAAAAAGGTTTAATTCAAAGCTTTTATATTATAGTAGGTTATTTTACCAATGTTACCAATAGAGTTATGTGCCATTTTATAAGATGATTTAATATTTATTTATATTGTTTATTGTTATATTAGTATACTCAACTGCCTTGGAAGATGGATGTTAATAAATGCATCGCATGTTGATGGTTACTATAGAACTAACTGTCATTTTAATAATGAATAATAATTTGGATGGGTCGAAAAGTGTTGAGTGTGTGCATTTTGTAATGGTCAATCCACTGAATCCTATAGAGCTTTATTAAGTGTATACCAGTATACCTAATATATATATATATATATATATTATACACAGGGTTTACCTACTACCTAGTGGCGTGGGAAGGGGGAATTATGGGGGATATATCCCCCATGGCCTTTTTTTTTAGTCTTCATATAAATTATGACTGAATTTTGGATCTATAAATTTTTTTTTTTAGAATAATAATAAAGATTGAAAATAATACATTTTAATTTATGACATCCCCCCCCCTCCCCGATATCAAATTCTTGGGCACACCTCTGGGTGTACCGAAGGTTGCAACACTTTTCATATTAATGGAATAATAAGAATAAAAATGTTCGTGAACCTAGAAATAGCCATGTAATGCAATAAAGTTAGAGTTTAGTTGTTTTAATAACTATCTAATATCTATATCTATATAAACGCTTAAGTTGGCTATGAAAGTATGAACATATTAGGAGTGCTGAGAGCAGAAAGTCTGAAGTATCAAAATTGGGTTCTACTTCCTACTTCTACTTTACTCCTACTTAGTACTTATATTATTGACCTTTCATATTTGTTGTTAAGATCCAAATGGGCGCATATAATTACAAAATGTTATTGAACTGTAAACAATATGGAGTGTTATACATAATTTTGATTTATATTATGGTACATAGTACAGTTATTTTAATTTGCTCAGGAGTGACATATTTAATGTTATCACATTAAAGTTAATGAAGTTTTATCGTATTATGATGGTATAACTAGCCCTCCGTGCTAGTTTTATGGTATTATATCACTAAAATCAATACCATTCGATCCAGATGAGTGATTGTGTACTCAGTGTTTATATTAATAATTACACTACGTATTAGGTACTTATATACAGATAAAACTATATTGTTTAATTTCGATAAATAATAATTATCCACTGAACTATATATTATTAAAAGTGATAGATATGTATGTTATCAAAGCGATGTACCAATGCATATGAAAAAGTCTAAAAATACTGATTTACGTGACCCAAAATGCTACCTATCATGAGACGATTAATAATATGAGGATAAATCTTATACTACACCAAATTTATCGATATAATCAGAATATATTAATAAAAAATAAAAACAAAAACAAAAAACAAAAAACAAAATAGGTAATTAATGAAATTTAAAATACTCTTCGCAAGGATGTGAAGGATGATAATTAGGGTTCGGATGTCTATGAAATTGCACATTATTTTCTATTTGTCTAATTTAATGCTGACCTGGATACAAATTTTAGTCATGTTCTACTGAATCAAATAATATTATTTTTATTTTGCATATTTTTGCATATTTAATGGTTTTGTATTTTAATTGCATATTTTGGGATTTTAAAAACAAAACTATACTTATTTTAGTAAATTTTTTTTAAAAACAACTTAAATTAACCAACAACAAAATTAACTACACAATTTTTATACAACATTTAAAGATGGCTAAACATATTCKTACAGCTGATCGACAGAAACAAATTCAGTCATAGCAACTAATTTCCAATGGGGTCGGTAAAAAATCATCATTTTACATGGATTATGAGCGGAGCGTTCCTAGCAGCCAACATTCCTTTCCGCAAAGTAAATAATACCTACAATATTTCGTAATTGAAAAAAATAAGGGATTTAAAACTTTGGTAAAAATTTCAAAAATACATTCCGGTGAAGTTGATACTATGGAAGGAATAGAAGAAGAGATTTRAAGGTTGAGGATCTTACATTTTTCAAATATGCTCCAATAACATCATTTGATGTAGAACGAAGTTTTTCACGGTACAAAAACTTACTTACCCATAACAGAAACAGTTACAAATTTGAGCAAATTAAAAAAACCATAGTAGCACAGTGTAACGCTAATAATGTAATAAATAATAATTAATAAATAATTAAAATGTATTTTAAATTGTAGTAAAAAATAATATATAAAAATAACTATACTGGGTAATAAAAAGTAATATTTTTGTTTTATGAATTTTAATAAATTTCTTTGTGCATATTTATCGGCTAAAAGTGCATATTTTATAATTTTTAGCGCATAAATGCATGCATATATTACAGTATTTTTAAGTGCATAAACATCCGAGCCCTAATGATAATATAGCTCGTAATGTAATCGTAATAATTGTATTAAATTAATTTTTAATTATAAGCATATTTAAAATGTAATGAGGCATAATTACTAAATTACGTGATCAATATTGTTATTGTCTGAAACGTTGTAAAAACAGCTCGTTAGCAGTAAATAGGATAAAATGACATAGATATGTGTGCTGCGTTTCATCACATTACACCTTAGTGTAAAAATGTCTTCACTTCTAATGATGAAGAACGCCATAGATCTCCCATCCGTCTAACGTAAGTATGTGCATGATTATCATCGTGGAAGGGCATTTCTAATTACTTAAATACAGCCGACAGCAGGACATTCGATACGAGTCGTGATGTCCACCGTTAACCAACCAACTCTATTTGATATAAGTATTTGAAGAACGACGACAACAACCAAAGCGACTTACGTAGTACGAGGAGAACGAAAGTAGAGGAGCACTCCTGTCAAGTCCATGCAATAAAATCTTTAAATAGATAATCGTGTAAGTTCTTAATAATAAAATGTAATATAGGCATAATTATATCAATTAAACCAATATTATAATTTCTTAATAAAAAAAAACATGTAGTAATATAAATATGTAATTACATGTAATTTCAATAAATAAGTATACCCGCATAAAATATATTATTACCTTAGGATGTTCTAAGTAGAAGCGTAAATACAGTGTCAGCCTGGCCCAGGTGGCTAGGAGGCGATCGCCTCCGAGGCCCCGACCTGTATTGGTGTCGGGTTACGTGTTCGAAAATGATATGTTCGAATAAAATGTGTTCGAATGAAAAATGTTCGAAAAAGCATATGTTCGGATGAATTTTTGTTCGAATGAATTTTTGTTCGAAAACTTTGTATTTATTATTTTGAAATTATAGATATTAAGATATCTATTATCTATAGTATA